AGCCCGTTGCGGTCCAGCTTCCTCCTCACGTAGTGCATCTTACCTGCGTCCATCCTGGCCAATCACAGCCAAAATTACATCACACATGCACACAGGTGTAAGTGTAGACTAAACACTAGAGGGTAGTGTGCGTCTGCATGCCAAATGCTCATGTTTGTGTGGTGTAGTGTGTAGTATGTAGCGTGTAGTGTAGTGTAGTGTAGTATGTAGTATGTAGCGTGTAGTGTAGTATGTAGTGTAGTGTGTAGTATGTAGCGTGTAGTGTAGTGTGTAGTATGTAGCGTGTAGTGTAGTGTGTAGTATGTAGCGTGTAGTGTAGTGTGTAGTATGTAGCGTGTAGTGTAGTGTAGTATGTAGCATGTAGTGTAGTGTGTAGTATGTAGTGTAGTGTGTAGTATGTAGCGTGTAGTGTAGTGTGTAGTATGTAGCGTGTAGTGTAGTGGAGAGTGTAATATGTAGTGTGTAGTATGTAGTGTAGTGGAGTGTGTAGTAAGTGTAGTGTAGTAATTAGCGTGTAGTGTAGTGTAGTGTAGTGTACTTGAATACGCGTGTGTGCAGGTCCCTCTGTAGCTCCCCCTGCCAGCGCGCTCTGCCGAGTCTCTCCAGGATGCAGTAACTCTGGTCGGGCAGCCGCAGCTCTAGGTTCCCCTCGGGGCCCACCAGCGCCCGGTACCGCAGCTCCTGAGACGCCACCATCACCAGACACTCACCCCACCTAAACACACACACACACACAAATACACTGTGAGTTCCTGACACACGCATACAGGGGTGCACACTGAAGCTGAAGGCCTGGTGTTGGAGCGCAGTAGTTGGTCAGTCTGCTGTAGCTCCTCCTCCTCAGTCCAGCATCAGCTGCTGTTGGGAATGACAGACAGGAGTCCTGCCTGATGCCTTTCTTGACTCACTCCTCCAAAACACCCCAAAATGCTCAATAATGTTTAGATCTGGTGACTGTGCAGGCCATGGGAGATCTTCAACTTCCACTGTCATGTCCATCAGACCACTCTGTGTCCACTCCTGCTGTATGTATTCCTGCATTATCATCCTGACACAAGCCACTGCCTTCAGGAGACAATGTTCGACCCATCGGGTCACATGCTCCTCCAGAATGGTTGGGTAGTCCTTGGCAGGGACACGAATACCATGATATTGAGCCCAATCCATCAGTGATCCCCCATGCTTGACTCTGGGCATCAGCAGTCTAGGTGGGCCGCTTCTGTGGGGCTTCTCCACACCGTAACTCTCCCGGATGTGGAAAGACAGTGAAGGTGGATCATCAGAGAACAGCACATGCTCCACACCGTCCACAGCTCCACATCTCCACTGCTGCTCCACTGAACCCCGCTGACCCGAAGAGTGAACAGCAGGAGGAGCACATGCAGACAGAACACCTACAACACTACACTGACCACAGCTT